GTCCCCCCGTCCCCGAGGAGCTCGAGGCCCACTCGTTGCCCGTGTCTCGGTCGCTGTCGCCCTCCCTGGTCTCGGCGACGGTGGAAGCCGGGGTGTTGGAGCAGGAAGCGCCCACCACGTGGTGCCTCCGGCGGCGCCGGCCCGAGCACTTGGACCTGGGGTTGTGCAGCGCAGCGAACTCCTTGGCTCCTTCCTGCAACCAGAGAAGACAGGGCGGGTGGCGGGTGACCAGGGAACACAGAAAGGCTTCTCTGCAGGCCCCGGGACCAGCCCTGCCCCATCTCCACCCAGAGAAGGTGGCAGACCCGCCGCGCCAGGTCACTTCGGCGATGCAGAGGCCCTGCCAGCTGCCTGCGCTGCACGTTCCCGCTTTGCTTCCTTCGGCATCGCTGCCCAGTTGGAAGAGGGTCCCTGACCCTGGCCCCCAAGTCTGCTCCCCTGACTCTTCCCCTAGCAATGAACTTCTGGCCTCTCCCTCTGCTCCAGCCCCGCAGTTCCCCGGACACCCCACGTCCGAGCCAGCTGACCAGCTCCGACACCACCGAGCGCACCCACCTCCCTGCAGCCACCTCTGCCGACCCACAGCTCTCATCCCCAGTAGCAGAGCTCGGCTGCGTTTCTGACAGATCATGTTTAAAATAGTCTGAGCCTTCTCCACACGCGCTAGATTCCTTCCCCAACATTTTTAACTTGGGCTTCATTTTTCAAACGCTGCACTGAGTCCAGAGAAATCATTTGTCACCATAATTTCCCATCTGCTAGCTATTAAATTAGTCTTCGTTGGAGATGTGCTAAAATATGCATCTGGTAAGGTCTACACTTGGATTCATGCTCCCCTGAATCCCATGAGCATTAGAACTAATTCTGAAAAGTCATCAAAGTCGTGAAAGCGACCCACAGAGTTCTGCAGAGCAGGGCTGGCCAGGCCACCTCTCGTGGTTTCGAAAGCAGCAACGCAGAAACATACCAGCCAGAGGAAACAGTCTGCTCCGCAAGGATCTGGCTCGATCTTGGTCTCTCTATTCTTTCGTTTGTACACATTAGGTGTAGCATGAAAAGCTGAAAAAATAACAGTTATCTTTACTATTAGCATCCTCCAAGAGCCTCCCCCCGACGCTGCAAGGGACAGGGGCAGCACGAGCTCAGCGAAGGTAAGAGGGAGCCTGAGGTGGTCGGCGAGAGCGCCCGAGCAGCTCCCCCCGCAGCGGGACCTCCCGGCCAGCCCTGCTCTGACCCGTGACGGGGACTCAGCGGCAGTGGGGGGACCCGTGGGAAGGAGAGGCCATAGGAAAAAGATCTGCTTTCAGACTGAAACAAAAAGACCACATGATCTTAATATGACATCTTTTAATAAATAATTCACTGGAAAGAGTCCTGTGACTTTCCAAAGAAGCCCTTAGACCTGCGAAACTGCAGGCCCAACAGCTAACCAGTATCCAAAAGGCTTTGGCAGGACAAACCGCAGGAACATGACTAAGATGAAGCTGTAAGTTCCAGTGAGGCAACAAAACACAGAGGCATGTCCAGACTTTGGAAGTGAAACACGTTCATGCCTTTCCCTGATGAGCTTCTGCAAAGCAAGAGCAAAGTCTAGTCGCAGCAGTATTTCTGGCACAAACTGCCAGGAGGCTCGAACGCGGCGCGCTGAACAGTGGTGAGAGAGGGGACGGCCGCGCTCGTCGGTTTGCCATCCACGTGAGGACACGAGGGGAGCCGTCTTTATAAAAGGCTTCTGGGCACCTGTCAGCTCCTAAGGCTCCACTGCAAACTCCGGGGAGGCACCACCCTCTAAAGACTGCGGCACAGACACTAAGCAAGGCGTACAGCGGCATGAAGCACTGAGGACAAATGAGGAGAAAAGGGCTCTAGGGAAGCGTCCGGCCGAGACTGCACTTACGATGCAGAAAACAGTCGTATTTGAAGCAGCGGCGGCAGAAGAGGGTGTGGAAGGAGTGCAGGGACTGCTCCCGCTGGACCGACTTCGCGCACGGCCCGTCGATGTTGGGAGTGCACTGCGGCGGCAGCACGTTCGGGTCCGACACTTCCGTGAGCTCCCGGTACCTGTTCGACAAACACACACCCAGGGATGCGCCTGCTTTCCTCGTCCGGGACGTGTTACGCGACTGCGTCACGATCCGGGCCGGTGGGACCCCGGCCCAGGCACCCCGAGGCAAAGCTGAAGCTTGTAGCACCCAAAAGCCGCCCCGCTCACCGCGCGGGGAGCTCTGCTTTCTGCTCAGAGCACAGGGCGGTGCTCTGAAACACAGACCTCAACTGTTGCCAACAAAGGTCACAGACAACTCAAGCAGAGATCCTCTACCTCTCTTTCATGTCGTCCGGGAAGCCGTATTCAGGAAACATGGAAGAAATCGCAGTGAATATCATGTCATTGGGAAACCGCTTCTTTGAACACTTCTTGTTACCTGTGAAAAAGAAGAGAGACGATTCCTCAGTCCAGCTGATGTGAACGTGTCTTTCCTCTTCCACAGAGAGCGACTCCAGTAGGTGTTTCAGGATTGAATTTTAAGAGACAGAAATGTAATCTCATGTACAATGGATAAACCTTTCGTCCTGCAACTAGGCTGAGGCATTTCCAGATGCCGTACACCGCCACTCTCAGAAGAGCATAAGGTACCGATGCAAGCACTAATGATTTCTCACGGACTACTACCTTTTGTTTTCACCAGGTCAGGATTTGCAGACAATGCTTTTCTACACCTACGAAAGGATCTGGTATTTGTTCTACCCGTATCACTATAAACCAAAGACAAAGACAAAATTACCAGTCAGCCTTCCTAAGGTCAGGCAGGACATGTGAAAATCCCACAAACCAGAGCTTCCTCTATGCAACAAGAACTCCAGGTGGCACAGGACAGAGAAGAGGAACACTAATACATGGAAAACGGGTCTGGAAGGGATTTGAAAAGCTCCACCTCCCTGACCTGCAGCACAATCAGATCTACCTACAAACTTACTGACGGGCGCTTGCCAGACCAGCACTTCAAAACCTCCAGGAGCAGAGATCCCGCAGCCTCCTCAGGTAACACCCCACTGCTTTGCTAATCTTACCATGAAACGGTTTTCCACATGACTCATCTAAATTCTCCCTCAACACACTTTAAGCTGATGGCTTCTTATCCTGTCCACAGGGGACAACGAGAACAACCGACGTCCCTTCTGCTTTCGACTGCCGTACCAGAACTTGCCAAGGTGGTTACTACTCATAGTGACGCATTAACAACCACGACAGTGCTGGCAGTGGGAGCAGTGGCCAGCTCCCTGGGCAGGGCAGAACGGAAATGTGACCAACACAGCCACAGTTTCTGTGGCCAAACCCACCTTCCACCGCAATTCGCTTTCTTTTCCTTGTAACCGGCAGCTCCTCTTTTCCATCCTCCTGTTTAACCTCAGAATCATTGTGTCCTTCCTCTTCCTCATCTGAGTACTGATTCAGGGCATTCACTAGCTCCAGGAACACAGCATCGCTGATTAGGACTGACCCTGAAATCATTTCTGAAACACAGAGATGTCAGCCAGTTTGTGGGTGTGCCATCATCCTTCACGCTCCTCATGGTGGGAAACCACAAGCCAGGAACACGACATGGTTAGCAACTGGAACCTGCCTCGCAATTTTGTAGGGCTAGGTGGGATTTTAATGCTGGAGTCATCAGAGCAGCGTATTGTTTTTAGCAATCTGAGGACAGGCCACACCAGAGTTTTCTCTGCCCTTCTCCCTCCAGGCAGAGTTTTACAACGAGGTAGGCAGCACTGCGGGGAAACACACTGGCTTTTCATTTTGAAAAGACTGATTAAAGTCTTGGCTAAGGAGCTCACAAGTGAAATGAGGTTGCTGAGCAAATCCTAACCTGTAGCATGTTTTTCAGCACCCTAGAGCACTCCTGTGAACCCCCGTGAACAAGAGCACCGGCTCCAGAGCACCCCAGGCCTCGAACGGAGCGGGATACCAAAAGGCAGGACTGTGTCCTTGCAAACTAGAACAGCAGGCATGTTCCTTTTCTGCTCTAAGAGCTCCCACAGAAAAACTGGTTACTGCTGCCACCTTTTGACTTCTTAGCTACTTGGATATGTTAAGAGCGCAAGACAGCGCTGACTGCTCCCAGGTTACCTTCCTCTCCATGAACCTTCCCATCATAGTTATTAATAAGCTCTTCAATGAAAGTTTCATCTTCTTCCTTCACCTCATCTCCCATGTAAGGGATATTGCACAGAACCGTTTCATCCTCCACCTGAAAAGAGATCAGACACAACTCAGAAAGCCGGCGCTTGCCAATTCCTGGCCAGGCTGTGTCTCGGGCTGCTCCAGACCATTCAGAGCCACAGACAGCACAGTGCCAGGCACAGGTTCAGCCTCCCTGGCTGAAGTTTCCGACGTCTCATCACTGACATGTCATCGTTATCCCATGCCAGCAGCACAACTCTGACCCCTGAAAGCAAAATTTGCTTTAGAAAAGGAGAGGTGTGCCTCCAAGGCTTACAGCAACTCAGAAACACACACATGCCAAGAATAATAAACAGCCAAAAAATGTCAGAGATTGTGCTCAAGGCAGAGTAGAACTGGAACAGTGAAAGGCAAACCGGTAACTCACTCCCCAGAGGAACAGAGCCAAAGCTGAGGAGCATTCTCACGTTAACCACAGGAGTAAGGACATTGGATCTTCATTGCCATGGCACCACCGACAGCCTCTGCCTTACCGTCGCTGGTGTCAGACTGCTCCCCCAGCCTGCAACCAGAGGCTTCAGAGAGCCCTGAGCGTTGCATGAACACATCCACACCCCACCGCAGGCAGGGAGCCAGGCTAGCCACAGACCACCGATTTGTTTAATAAATAATCTTAACTACGCCACACCAAAATCTGCATTTAAATCACTCCCATGACAGAGGAACTAGTCCTCAGTAGCATCCTGACGATGAGGCCAGTAAAGTAATCGACTCACAAAGGAAAGGACCTGCCTAAGAAATAAAACTCTTGACTTGAAAGGGAAGAAAAATCTTAACAACAACAACACAACCCACACCTATTTACTCCTTGAATCCTGTGAAATAATGGTGGATCTATCAAGGAGTCAGAAGTAAAGGAGAGACCAGCTGGGTAAGACAGCGTGGATACTAGGCTGGTTTATGGGATTCAACAAAACAAGCAGCTAAAACAACCCTTTCCATCATCTCTCGGGCAGATATCACTTGAAAGAAGTGGGTTGAAGGAGGCACAATCACTCCAAAGCCATGTAACGATTACGATTAATTGCACCAAGATCTTGCACCACAGAGCCTTCCTACATACCATGAAATTCTGCTGCAGAGGGGACCAGGAGTACATAATGGGCACCAGTGCCACTGTGTTCAGTGTCCTCATGTACAGCGTCTGGCTTGGAAATCCCGGGAAAATGCTCTCAACAGTACACTGGAACAGGAGTACAAAGAAGGGCAGTGAGGAAACCATCCCTGGGAGGCAGCCACAGCCAGAGGGAAGCTGCACTTCAGGACAAACACTGCATCACTTTCTGTGACTCTTTCACAAGAAAGGCCTTGTGGTTGGGCTTTTTTTTTTTTCCCATTTCTGCATCCCAGAAGAGTGGGAGGCACAGCCTGACATTGACATAGGCCAGCACACACAAAAATTGATGCTGTATCCTCACAGCTCCCTGCAAAGCCCTGGTTCTAGTCCACCCTTGCTGCTGCCGTGCCCCTTTTCCTCTCCACACCTGTTTTAGGAACGGGTGCCCGCTGACTGGCTTCATCAATTGCACCGGCTGGACTCGAAGCTTCTTCCAGTCTTCGTTCAGAATTTGAGTCTTTTCATGAACCTTTGCAAAGTTGGCCACAAACAGAGCCTGTAATGAGAGAAATCAGGCCTCAAAACTTAAGAAATCATGTTGAGAACACTAAAATCCCTCCTGAGATTTTGTTTCAAGCATCAAAACCTATGCAAGGCAGAGCATCTCAAATTTACGATACTTATTAGATGGAATTCTAATGAAACTCAGCATTGCTACAAAACCATGCTGAAAATCTTCCCAACAGTCAGCAGCTTTTGATAACTCCTGATCTCAGCCGACCTCTTCTAAAATCCTGCCTGCCAAGGAGAGGAGCATCAGAGTAAGTCACCTGAAACCCACCAGCACCAAGAGGGTTCAAGCAGGGAGACACTTTACAGAACACGCAGCAACGAGCCCCCTGGCTGCAGTGACACCAGCACCCAGCCAAAGGCGTCCAACAGACGCTGACCGCGCCGCTCGAGGCGAATAACGGAGCATGAGCAGAAGCAGCATCTCTTCGGACTTATCCGGGCTGCAACCAAAACAAGCTTATCTCGCAGGACGAGGCGCCCACCTGATAGCTCTCCAACACTGTAAGCTGAAGTGAAGCACTTAGGAG